GGGGGCAGCAGATTGTGCTTCCTGTGATCTGGACACCGGCGGTGCAGCCTGTGTTTGCCAGCATAGGGCTCACACCAGCACAGGTGGGTGACAACACATCTCAAGACTTTTTTTTTTTTTGCATGAATTGCTGTTATTTCTGGCCTAACCCACTCTGCACACATGCCAGTAATTTTGAGAAATCAGTAATATAAGACCTGGCGGTGGCTCCTGGTCGTGTACTGGATTCTTGCAGCTCACTGTTCCCGGCCTTCAGGATTATTTTTCAAGGGAGGGACTGGGGATTGAACCCAGGACCTCGTGCATGCTAAGCACACACTCTACCACTGAGCTATCCTCACCCACCTCAGCCTTCAGGACCTTTAGAAACCTTGTCTCCTGACATATGTTGATTGCTTCCTGATCTGAGGCGCCTGCAGGTGTCTCAGGGGAAGGAAGGAAGTTGGCCTGTCTGGGGCACTCGGTGCCAGCTGCAGGTGTCAGGGGCGGACGCAGGTGTACTGAGCTGCAGCGGGCCCCATGAGCTGGGCTGGGGAAGCAGAGCCGGGCGGGGCAGCCCCTCCTCACTGCTCATCTCAGGCTCCCCGCTCCCCTCCTGCACACCCGGTCCTCGTCTCAGACCCACGGCGGGATCTGGAGGAACTCCCTGCCCTCTGCCCCCTTTCCTTGCCCGTCACTCACCTTCCTGGCCAATGGGCCCCTGCTGCCCCATGGGCCCCTGGTCTCCTCGGAATCCGGGAACGGCCGACACACCGCCTCTTCCCTGGGGCCCGGCCTTCCCCGGAGCCCCGCGGAAACCTGCACGGTGGCCACGAGACACGCGTGAGCCCCGGGAGAGGGGCGGGCTCACACCGCTGCGGCTGGGCGGTGCTTCTCAGCAGGAGAACAAAAGTGAAAAGGCAAACAGGAGAGGACCCCTCCCCTGGCGGCCCCGCAGCGGGGCTCCTACCTGGCTCTCCCGGGGGGCCCTGGGGCCCCATCTCCCCCGGAGCCCCCGGCAGGCCTCTCCTTCCCTGCGGACCCACTGGCCCCCGCTGGACGGCAATCTTCTGGGGGATTCCCGCAATCCCTGGGGCCCCCACAGCGCCAGGGGCACCTGGAGAGGGAGGAGAGAGGGCGGCGGCGCCTGAGAGCCACACTCCCTCCTGCTCTGGCCTCTTCTCCATGCTGCTCTCGTTGAACTAGTCCTGGGGCTCCCCGAACCACCGCTCTCCGGAGATGGGGCGGCGGGTAGCCCACCCGAGAGTCGCTCAGAGCCTTCCCTTCCGACAGTCGTTGTCCCCACCAGGCCCCCGTGGCCCCAGACGTGTCCCCTCTGAGACAGCCACTTACCTGGGCGTCCTCGGTCTCCTTTGGGTCCCCTGGGGCCTCGGTCGCCCACACTCCCGGTGGCGCCTATGTTTCCCATGAATCCCTGCTCACCTCTGGGCCCTTCAGGACAAGCAGCACACTGAGGACGCGCAGGGCGGGGGGGCTCCGGCCACCTCGGCCCAAAGCCACCAGCCTCCCCGCGAGAAGGAGCCTCCCCAGGGGCCCTGACCGTTACCTTTTCCTCCGGGGAGTCCGGACACGCCAGGCCGGCCCTGGGGCCCGGGGTCCCCGCCCCAGCCTTTGGGCCCTGCGCTTCCGGGGGTTCCTGGGTTCCCCTCTTCTCCTTTGCTTCCAGGAAGAGCGGCAGGACCCGGTGGCCCGGGGGGGGCCTCGGTAACCTGTGGGCACAAGTCCAGGACGGGAGAGTGTACAGGGAGGAGGTGTGGTCATGGCCACAAGGCTGGGTGCAAAGTCACCCGTGCAGGGGACGGGCTTTGGCAAGCTCGGAACGCTGGGCAACTTTGTCTTTTATTGTGTAGGATAGAGGTAACATAAAATTGACCGTTTTCACCACTTTTAAGTGTACAGTTCAGTAGCATTAGAATCATTCACACTGCTGTGCGACCATCCCCACCATCCTTCTCTGAACGATTTCATCTTCCCAACTGAAGCTCTGTGCCCACTGAACACTACCTCCCCCGCCCCCGCCCCCAGCGGGGGACCCCTGGCCCCCACCATCCTGCTCTCTGTCCCTGTGAGTCTGACTCCTCTTGGCGCCTCCTATCAGGGAATCAGGCAGGATTTGTCCCTGTGTGTCTGGCGTATTTCATGCCGCGTCCTGTCCTCCGGGGGAAACAAAGTGTGCCATCCCTAAAGCAATCAGGCACGACGGCTCCTGTGCCCCGAGAGCCCCGCACACAGCAGTGTGAGCCCTGCTCACCTTCCAGGCCAAATATCCCGGGCGCTCCTGTGTCCCCCGGTGACCCAGAGATGTTGGAAGGGGGCGTGATGCCTGGAAATCCCTGAAGTCCTGGACTCCCGACTGGGCCTCGTTCCCCTTTCAGGGAAGAAGAAGTTGTTTATTATCAGCACTCGACTTTCTGCCTACGGTTTCCTCTCCATGTCCCAGAACCACCAAGGAGGGCAGGGAAGGAAGGTGGCCACTGCAGGCTCTCAGGGTGGGGCCCGGGCGGCTGGGCTACGCTGTCCCCACGAGGCACGGGGGGTGGGTGCCAGTCGTCAGAAAACAAAGTCTGGGCTGTCAGGGCGGCTGATGACCCCTTGGCACTGTGAACGCATGCTGCCCCCAGGTGTTGGTTACCTTTAATCCAGGGGTATTCCCCCCAGTTTGCTGGAGCAGTTTGCTGGCAGATAGTGGGGGCTGGGGCTGGGGGTGGGAAGTGGGTCTCGTTCTCAGCAGCCGAGACCACTCCTCCCTGGTTTGTTCCCGCCATGCTCCAGGCCCGTCACGCGGGCCGAACTCAGGGGCTGTGTGGGTGCATTTATTCCTTAATCCAACGCGCCCAGCTCTGATATGGAAGGGCACTGTGCCAGGTGCCCTGGGGGCCACCGAGGGGACAGAACGCGATCTTCTCTTTCCGAAAAGGAGGTGGTCAGTAGCTAACCCCGATGTTTAAGATCCACGTTACGGTGAAGTGTAAACGACGGAAGACCAGCCGGGAGGTCTGCAACAAGCAGTTCTCCCCAGCAGAGCCGGCGCCTGCACCTGCTCCCGCCTCTCCTCTCTCAGACGCACAGGCTCTGTGGTTGCATGTGCCGGTGCTGGGGTGTCAGCCTCACCTGGGGTGCCACGCTCCCCTTTCTGGCCCGGGGCGCCAGCAGGGCCTGGAAGGGTGTTGGCCTCTCCTGAGTCACCCCTGTCCCCCGCAGGACCTGGGAAGCCGGGGTCTCCGTAGGCGTCCGCACCTGTGGCAGGGTTAACACAGGCAGTGCCTTCAGCCTAAGGGGTTGGCTGTCAGGAGCAGGACAGTGACGCTCTCCAGGGAGACTCAAACAGAGAGCCAGGCAGCAGCCGAGCTGTCAGCTTTCCACGTGGGCTCAGGGCCCCAGAATCTGCCACTCGGAAGGGATCCTGGAGTTTGTAGCTGAATCCCCTCGCCTTACAGAGGAGGGCACTGCAGCGCCCCCAGGAAAGGCCCGTGTTCCCAGACGCCGAGGGTCCTGGAGCTGGGACCTGCTGAGGGTTCTGGGCTCCTGGCTGGGGCCCCGATGGGCAGGCTCGAGTTAGGGCTAAGAGGGAAACGCTATTTAAAACCTGCTCTGCTCACACATCAGGTGCGCAGAGCAGTTGGTGGCCAGAGACAGCAACATCACTTGACCATTTAGAACTACAGTGATTTTTTTCTTTTGAGTGTATTAAAAAAAAAAGTGTTATTTTAAATGTCTCCACAGAACATTAATAACATTCATAATTTGAAAAGAAAACAGTAAAAGTTGTCTTTTAAAAAAAGACATATTAATGATAAGCCCAAGAAATATCATGAGTCCAACGAATAAATTTTAAAAAAAGAATGAAAAGACGGGGTGCTAAGATTTAAGGTGAAAGGAACTCATTTAAAATAAAGAAGTTTCAGAGAAGCCACCGAGGTTTCCGGACCCGCCATGGCAGCTTCCTGGAGGGCACGAGGGTAACGGGGGGCCTTCTGCAGACAGGGGATTTCATCCCCTTGAGGAACAGATTGACACGCGGTGGTCCTCGGAGATCCCAGAAGGGGCTGATGGTGGGTTTTGGAAACAATGGGCTTTGTATCCTCTTCAGGGGAAAAAAAAGTGCGAGAATAGTTTCAAAGAGCAACTGCTAATGGCTTCTTCAAGGTGTCCATTTCCTCTCCTTATAGAACAAAACCCCCGTCCGCCATTGCCGTGAACCAAACTATCTTTTCCAAAACCATGTATCGTTGCCCTGATCCCCAGGGTGGTGGAGTCTGGAGGTGGGTCTTTGGGAGATGACTGGGGTCAGAGAAGGCCATGAGGGTGGGGCCCCTGCGATGAGACTGGTGTTCTCGTAAGAAGAGACACCGGACAGCTTGTTCTCATCTCTACCGGGTGAGGACGTGGCGAGAAGCCAGGAAGAGGGTCCTCACCCCAAGTGCACCGCGCTGGCACCCGATCCCAGACTTCCAGCCTCCGAGCTGTGAGAAGTCACTGCCTGTTGTTTAAGCCCCTTGGGAAGGGCCTGAGTCCCTGCGGCTTCGGAATGGTCACACAGCCCTGGGGGAGCCCCTCCCCTCCTCCGAGTCCAGCCCTGCCCACCCTGTCCCTCCCCCTCTGCCAGCACCGCCTTGTGGCCTGGTACCTGGGGATCCTGGAAAGCCTTTGGTGCCTGGCAGGCCGTGTAATCCGCTGATGCCTCGGATGCCGGGCAGACCTGCGAGGGTTCCTCATGGTTATTTCAGGGGACAGCAGAGAGGGACACCTGACATAATCAGACGCTTCTGTCTCTGGGATACACTCGCCCACCCAGTGGGCTCAAAAGCCAGGCAGTCAGGAAGCAGTTCAGCAAATACCGTGACATGTAAACCAGTCACTTCAGTGTCACCCAGGAGAACCGCCAGCTTAAACCTGCTGTCATAGAACCCTGTTCCAGACTTGTTACAGCCAGAAGGGGACTGGCCAGGCTGTGCGTCTCTCCTCCTGACACATGAGTCACTGAATGTATTTGGTCTGTGAACATGGAGCTTGGAACCAGCAGCCTGGGGCTGTTTCCACGCCCCCTGGGCTCCGAGGTCGCCTTTTCTAAAGTAGGACACGGAAACCGGCGGCACCTCTGCCTGTGATGTGGGCGGTGAGTGTGGATGTGGGGTGGGCCTCCCCCCTTGACTGGGCAGGAGAGCAGCTGGGGGCCTGTCCCCTGAACCGACCCCTGTCCAGGCCAAGCCCAGTGACCCCAAGGGCTCCACCAGACCTCGCTCAGCAGGGACCCTCGCGTCCATCCCTCTGTCTTGGCTCTGCACTGCCTGCATGCTGACCGACAGTGGCTCTGAGGCCTCCTGGCAGGTTTTTGTTAATCATTTCGGGGAGTAAACACTTCTTTGTGGGTTTGCTTTGCGTCCACAGAGGGGCAATGGTTTTACCTGGTAAGCCTGGAGTCCCTGGCCAGCCGTAGTCTCCCTTGGCGCCTGGCACGCCGACCCGGCCTGGCTCTCCCTGAGGCCCCTGCAGCCCTGTCAGTCCTGGGAAGCCTGGGGACAAACACATCCTTAAGGGGACACAGGAACCCTGAGGTCTCTTGGCCTCCAGTTCAGGTCCCGCTTGGGAGAGGAGCTTCGCGGGAAAGGGCCAGTTTCCCTTCCAGCCGGGAATGCCCTGCCCATGGCCTTGGACCCCCACACTCAAGTCCCATGGGGTCAGCGCAGCCTGGCCAAACAGACAGGCTGTGTGTTCGAATTCTCATCCTGTTGTCCAAATAGAAGTCTGGGAGAGCCCCGCGACCCTGGAGGGTCAGCCTCTCTGCGCTCTCAGATCCTGGACGGAGGGCAGAACAGCAGCCAGAAAAAAAGCACCAAGAGTTCACCCATTTAAGTCGGGTCCCCCACAAATTTCTGCAGCTCAGGTGCACGAAAGGAGCCGGGCAAGAGCTGAGTCTGGGAGTTTACAGGGAGACGGGTGTGGCCGCACGGACCCAGCCGTCCGGTTGAGTGTTGGTCCCCGGGCTGAGTGGGGTAGAGGGACAGGTGGGAGGAAGCTTCCTAGGGTGACCACGGGTGACCCGCAGACAGGCAGAACCAGCCACCCCTGTTCTGGGCCCCTGGAGTTTGGGGTTCAGCCGTGCCCAGCCCCACGGGGCGCTGCGCCGTCCAGCTGGCCCAGGAAGGCCACGTGACGGCGGCCTTTTACCTGTTTGCCCTTTGAGTCCGGGAGGGCCTTGGACTCCTGTCAGGCCTGTGATCCCGGGAAAGCCGACGTCACCCTCTGTTCCTTTCTGTCCGAAGAATCCTTTCAGACCTGGAACCACGGAAGCGCTGCTTGAACACCACGGCCACCGCGTCACTGGGGTCCACGGTCCCGGGGACGCCAGCTGGGACGCTGGCTTCCCTCTGGTGCCCCTGCGGTGCATGGGGCGGAGGGCCAGACGCGCTCCTCCCTCTGCTATTTTTTCATTGAGGTACAGCTGATGTACAATGTCGTGTTGGTTTCAGGTGTACAGCATAGCAGGTTAGTCCTACGTGTGTACACGTTCTTTTTCAGATTCTTTTCCGTTAAAGTTTATTACAAAGTGTTGAATGTAGCTGCCTGTGCTGCACGGTAGGTCCTTGTTGTTTACCTGTTATGTATGTTGGTGTGTATCTGCTAATCCCAGACTCCTAATTTATCCCTCCTCCTGCCTCTTTCCTCTTTGGTCATCTTAAGTT